GAAAAGGTTATGTAAAAGCACATCCCGGAAGTTCCACAAAAGTGCAAAGTCGCTGTAAACCGAGAAAGACTGAAAGTCGAAATGGGCACAGTTGGGAGGGGGAGATGTTTGATGGTTTTTGCGGGCATGGGGGTTGCGGGAGGGGCGCAGTTTTCGTGGGTAGAGCTGGCATCGAGGTTTGCTTGCACAGGCATTGATACGTTCCACTTGCAAGCGCTGCTCGAAGACGTTCCCGACGAAACAACATCAGGTCCTTTTCGCTGCGATGCCGTCCGCCATGGCAGAGATCTGCGCGGGGCTGCGCCGCGTGCTGCGGGCCCTGGCGAGGAGCGCGGTGCCAGCCGCGGTGCCCGCGCCCGCGGCGTCGGCGAAGGCGCCGGAGGCGCCGCAGGTCCAGGGCCCACCCGAGGTCCTGGCCCCGCCGACTCTGGCGCTGACGCTGCTGCAGCAGAACTTCCTGGAGGCTGAGATGGAGGCCAAGCAGGAGGTCCAGGGCAAGGTGGCCGAATTCCGCCGAATGAATGGCGGCCGGCCTATGAACGGTCCGCAGCGGGCTGAAGTGGAGAATCTCTTCAAGCTCCGCATGAAGACGGCGGAGCTGGCGAAGATGGAGGCCGAGGAAGAGGAACGCCGCAAGGCCAGGCATCGCATTGCAGCCGCATGTCACCGCATACCGTTGCGGGGTTGTGTACCAGCCAGGCTGCGGCGGAGGAGCACAACTTGGCTCCTCCAGACGAGGACAGACACTGGGGCGACTGTGTGTGGGTGTGTGTCCCTGTGTGCCTGGCTTTCGGAATCCTTCGTAGATCTTATCAGTTCTAAACATCATCCGTCTTTTTTTTTTTTTGGGGGGGGGGGGGAAGGGGGAACCATATCACTTTCTGGCGAACGAATCTGGGTTCGACGTTACCTGCTTCTGCCCGCAGGCAATGGTGGCCTGAGCTTTATCCTGCGCAAAAAGAACGAACCACCGCGCAGTCCAAGTGAGGCTTCTAAGCAGCAAATGTGTTCACATGCGGGTGGGGACAGGCTTCAGGCCCAAAGCAATGGGGGGATGTTTTTTTCCGGCTAGGAAAGGTTCCCTTTCTTGCTTTCGGCATCTTTTGGGAGGAGACGAGTTTGAGACCAGGTGGGCACAAGATGTTTGAGAACTCACCGAAACCGATGCTTTTCGGCCTTTGATCATGATAGGGGACCTTTACTGGGAAGACAATGGGCCTAGAAGGCCCTTCTGAGAATTCCTTCCGCACCTAGTCAAATGTATAGGACATCATAGGACATGTTCTGCAGTTTCTACGGTTTCTCTTGGTGGGTAACAATGTGTAATCCTGACTCTGTGCCTGAAGTAAGCAGTGGATGGCCTCTCCAGCTTTCCTTTTTCTAGCAAATTTTTCATGGGGGTCCTTTTGTCGCGCGCCAGATGTTTTTTTTGACGTTTTGTTGGAGGACGCTAGGTTGACCCCAGGTGCGTGTTTTGGCAACACTTGTGGGGAACTATAATGAGAGCTGCATGAATGCTGAGACATCAACTCGGCGTCGTCGTCCTTTGCGACCTTTGTCTGGGTAGGCTCCTTACCTTTCCGGGTTTGACACTAGTTCAGCACTTCAATTTCTGAACCATTTGAAGCTATAGTTTGGAATTGGCTAAGTATTGGCTCCGGTTTTTGTATTGATTTAGCAAAAGGCTGAAGGCGGGTGTCCAAAGTAGGGGCCCGAGTAGCCGTGGGTCGGCCAGGGCAATTTGTTTTATGTGTTATTCGGTGGGGGGGGGTTGGAGGGTTGGGCGAAGCGATCTCAACTCATAGGGTAGTCCTTCTTCGGAAGATGCGGGGCGCCCCCGCCATTGAAGCCGTCCTTTGGAGCCTCCTTTGCCCGACAATCCGACAATCCGACAATCCGACAATCCGAGGTGGCGAGCTGCCTGCTGGTTGTTGGGTTGGCTTTTGAAGTGAGGGCATATGTTGAGAGGGAAATGTAGCTGCAATTTGCTTCAAACAGTACCACCCCGACGGCCGCTCAGTTTGGAACCCCCCATCCACAAGGCCCGATGCGCGGGGGTCCGAACCAGTGGGAGAGCCCTGTCATTGGTTCAGGCAAGAAGATGACAGCGGCCAGCCCAGAAATTAATGAGGTGCTTTGGATTGGCGGTTTCTTCTTTTGAGCCGCCTTTGTTGCGGTGTCCAGTGCCGAATGTAGACAAGAACTGCCAAGCCAAAATGCAGTTTCACCAGCGTCCTCTTTCAAGAGACTTGAAGAGGCAAGACAAGTAACGGCCGACACCTCCGTGCTTGGTGCTGAAATCTGACAAGTCTGACAATAGAAATTTCGAGCTTGGTTCTTGCCCATGGAGTGTTTCCTACCCAGAGTAAGTTCTACTTGCTTCGTGCACAGGCGGGGGACTCTAGAAAGGGTGATATCTTTATAATTCCTCAAAATGCCTACTCTCAAAATGATATATATATATATATATAAAAAAGCAACTTGGTGTGATTTGCAGCTCGCTTGGAGATCTTGGCTGCTGTCCAATTGGTTCAGCGAAAAGGCGGCAGATGTGGCGAGAAGCATGCCGCTCCAGCCGGAAAGGCGATTTCAACGCGACAGCAAAAGGGGCAGTGTGTGCTGTGGTGCTGTGTGGGTGTCCGGTTTGGGCTAATTGGCTTGCAGGGCTTCAGCGTTGGGCATGGTCACGGTTTTTCTTCTTGCTGTGTGCGCATGTGCCTGTGGCAGAGAGCTTAGTTGCAATATTTTATATGGCCTATTACTTGTAACTTGTAACCGTCAGTTGCAGTGGCTTTGCGTTGCGCTTGAAGGATTCGAGGCGCCCGCAAGTTGAATCCGGGCACGCTCAATGCATTCAGGTGTTGGTATCAGAGAAAAGCGCACCACTACAAAGCCTTTGGCTACCTGGGCGCTTTCAGGAACAGTTCGCGGCTTTTGAGACCAGCTCCGGGGTTGTTGTATGTCGTCTTGTGCCGCTCTTAAGCGGGGAACGATTCCGATCTGTCCAAAAAGGGCTCGAATTTTAGCCAAGCAATATTCTTAATCCCTTCCCCTTAATAACCCCCTCCCCCCCCCCGCCCCCGCACCCCCAAATAGAAAAACCTCGGAGGGAGTTTTAAGATTAGGGGTCGCCAGTTTTGCCTTAGATATAGTTCATTGTTTGCTGTTTAGTATTGGACTTGTATTGGACAGTGGATTCCCTTTGATTGCAGCAGAAGACGCTCAGATTTGCAACTTTTCAGTAAGGACTCTGAAAGGGACATTCCCGTTGTCAAATTTCTTGGAATGTTTTGGGGTTGGGGCGCGGACTCTAATAAAACTTGTTTGGGCCCGAAGAAGCACATTTTGAGAGCTTGGTGGAAAGCATGTGTGGTCTCAGGGTATTGGTTAGTATTGGCTAGTTTAACATTACTATCTGCGTTGTTTGGCGCGGCTGAGGGGAGTTTGATTAATTAGGGGTGGGTTGATTGATAGGAAGTGATCAGGCGGGGATTGTTCGATGCACAGTATTTGTTCCGCCTGCGTTTGCGCTTGTTCTTGTTCTGCTTCTTTCTCCTTGTTGCTGTTTACGAGTATGTTGCTCTTCTTTCTTTTGCTCCCAATCCTTGTCGTGGCTTCCTTCCTCTCGTACGCAGTTTGACTCTGCAGGCAGCCGGTTTGGACAGCCGCACGGCATGCCCGCCCAGCCAGTGGAGAAAAGGCTGAACCGAGAGCAACTGGGGCCCCCACGCTCTCCCCAGAAAAATTAACATGAGGTGGAACGAGGGTTCTTTGGGTTCCAGTCAATTTGCCGGAGTTCTTCCCGTCTTCCCATGCTATTCTCTGGATCTCTTTGTGACTGGGGGGTTCGTGTCCATTCGCTGTTCGTTGAAATCACCCCCCGCCCCCCAAAGAACATTTTGAAAAACATCCCTTCTGTGGTGGCGAGTCCTCCAGTTTTTCTTCTGTTTCGAGCGTGCTGGACATCGCGTTGGATCAGTTTCGCGTGAGAAACTTATTTGACCTTGTGTTAGGCTGGGAATTCCCATCGAGTGAAGTCAGCTCAACTGGACACCCACCGCAGCTTGCAGCGGCAGGGTGCACTTGGCACTTGGCAAAGAAGAGCTGGACACAGCCGCACGCTTATCGATCACTGGTCAGAGTTTGTGATTATGGGCACAACATTCGAAAGACAGATTGGCTCAAGTTGGCGCAGAGGCCACACACACACACCATGACAAATCTGACGGCAACTCACGAGCAATTCGGAGCCCAGTTGCAAGATGTCGGATCCGGAAGCAAAAGGCACGATGGGCTGGGAGTGAAAGGCGAAACACTAGTGCCTAAAGAATCTGTATTAAAGGAGCCCTGTGATCTGTTTCAAGATCACGTTTTTTGGCTTTGGTTCATGGAATCAGTTTGGAGCCATGCGGAGAGGTCTTGTCGGCAGCCAGCAAAACAGATGGGTGTTCAGGACAGAACAAAATAAGCAACCTCGAAACTGGTTCGTGCTTGCTGTCTGTTCCCGGAAGATTTTGCATGTCCCCCCGCGAGCACATGAGCAGTCCCAACCCCCGAACCCCCGGGAGCTTCTTGTGAGGGCCCATTCTGACTGCTCAAATCGCGTTCTCCGTCATTACTGTTGCACGGAAATAGAGCTTTGGTTCGGAGCTCAGGATGAAGGTCCCTCAGAAATTGCCGCAGCCTGCTTGGTCAATAGCTTTCCGCACAGATGCATTCGAAACTTCTGCACAGGGCGGTGCGCTTGGTCCAGGAGAAGCAGGTGGAAAGTGGGCCTTTCTGGGTATGTAGAGGCTCATCCCATAAGTTGCACCAAAACGCAAAGCCGCTGTAAACCGAGAAAGACTGAAAACTGAAGTGAGCACAGTTCGTAGGGGCGGTTCTTTTGGGCCTGGGGGTTGTGGGAGATGCGAAGTTTCCGGGTTAGGTGAGCGGGATGGAGGGTATGCAATTGCCAATTTGGTGCAGCGTGTGTTGAGTCATTGATATGTTCACCCACTGCAAGCGCTGCTCGAAGACGTGTCCCGACGAAAGTCGGCATCAGGTCCTTTTCGCTGCGATGCCGTCCGCCATGGCAGAGATCTGCGCGGGGCTGCGCCGCGTGCTGCGGGCCCTGGCGAGGAGCGCGGTGCCAGCCGCGGTGCCCGCGCCCGCGGCGTCGGCGAAGGCGCCGGAGGCGCCGCAGGTCCAGGGCCCACCCGAGGTCCTGGCCCCGCCGACTCTGGCGCTGACGCTGCTGCAGCAGAACTTCCTGGAGGCTGAGATGGCGGCCAAGGAGGAGGTCCAGGGCAAGGTGGCCGAATTCCGCCGAATGAATGGCGGCCGGCCTATGAACGGTCCGCAGCGGGTTGAAGTGGAGAATCTCTTCAAGCTCCGCATGAAGACGGCGGAGCTGGCGAAGATGGAGGCCGAGGAAGAGGAACGCCGCAAGGCCAGGCATCGCATTGCAGCCGCATGTCATCGCACGCCGTTGCGGGGTTGTGTACCAGCCAGGCTGCGGCGGAGGAGCACAACTTGGCTCCTCCAGACGAGGACAGACACTGGGGCGACTGTGTGTGTGTGGGTGTGTGTCCCTGTGTGCCTGGCTTTCGGAATCCGTCTTTGATCTTATCATTTCTAAACATCATCCGTCTTTTTTTTTGCCGGGGGGGGGGGGGGAAGGGGGAACCATATCACTTTCTGGCGAACGAATCTGGGTTCGACGTTACCTGCTTCTACCCGCAGGCAATGGTGGCCTGAGCTTTCCTGCGCAAAAAGAACGAACCACCGCGCAGTCCAAGTGAGGCTTCTAAGCAGCAAATGTGTTCACATGCGAGTGGGGACAGGCTTCAGGCCCAAAGCAAGTGGTGGATGTCTTTTTCCGGCTAGGAAAGGTTCCCTTTCTTGCTTTTGGCATCTTTTGGGAGGAGACCAGTTTGAGACCAGGTGGGCACAAGATGTTTGAGAACTCACCGAAACCGATGCTTTTCGGCCTTTGATCATGACAGGGGACCTTTACTGGGAAGACGATGTGCCCTTGGGCCCTTCTGAGAATCCCTTCCGCACCAAATGTATAGGACATCATAGGACATGTTCTGCAGTTTCTACGGTTTCTCTTGGTGGGTTCAGGAAAACAATGTGTAATCCTGACAAGGTAACGCAGGATCTGCGCCTGAACTAAGCAGTGGATGGCCTCTCCAGCTTTCCTTTTTCTAGCAAATGTTTCATGGGGGAGGTTCCTTTTGTCGCGCGCCAGATGTTTGTTTGACGTTTTGTTGGAGGACGCCAGGTTGATCCCAGGTGCGTGTTTTGGCAACACTTGTGGGGAACTATAATGAGAGCTGCATGAATGCTGGCTCAGCACAAAACAACCTCAACCAACTGAACGGGCCATGATCCGACCAAAAACGAGACGTCGGTCAACTCGGCGTCGTCGTCCTTTGCGACCTTTGTCTGGGTAGGCTCCTTACCTTTCCGGGTTTGACACTAGTTCAGCACTTCAATTTCTGAACCATTTGAAGCTATAGTTTGGAATTGGCTAAGTATTGGCTCCGGTTTTTGTATTGATTTAGCAAAAGGCTGAAGGCGGGTGTCCAAAGTAGGGGCCCGAGTAGCCGTGGGTCGGCCAGGCAATTTGTTTTAGGTAGTCCTTCTTCGGAAGATGCGGGGCGCCCCCCCCCATTGAAGCCGTCCTTTGGAGCCTCCTTTGCCCGAGAATCCGACAATCCGAGGTGGCGAGATGCCTGCCGGTTGGGGTGGCTTTTGAAGTGAGGGGGTGCCCATATGTTGAGAGGGAAATGTAGCTGCAATCTGCTTCAAACAGTACCACCCCGACGGCCGCTCAGTTTGGAACCCCCCATCCACAAGGCCCGATGCGCGGGGGTCCGAACCAGTGGGAGAGCCCTGTCATTGGTTCAGGCAAGAAGATGACAGCGGCAAGCCCAGAAATTAATGAGGTGCTTTGGATTGGCGGTTTCTTTGTTGCGGTGTCCAGTGCCGAATGTAGACAAGAACTGCCAACCATAAATGCAGTTTCACCAGCGTCCGCTTTCAAGAGACTTGAAGAGGCAAGACAAGTAACGGCCGACACCTCCGTGCTTGGTGCTGAAATCTGACAAGTCTGACAATAGAAATTTCGAGCTTGGTTCTTGCCCATGGAGTGTTTCCTACCCAGAGTAAGTTCTACTTGCTTCGTGCACAGGCGGGGGACTCTAGAAAGGGTGATGTCTTTATAATTCCTCAAAATGCCTACTCTCAAAATGATATGATATATATATATATATATTGTATATAAATGCAACTTGGTGTGATTTGCAGCTCGCTTGGAGATCTTGGCTGCTGTCCAATTGGTTCAGCGAAAAGGCGGCAGATGTGGCGAGAAGCATGCCGCTCCAGCCGGAAAGGCGATTTCAACGCGACAGCAAAAGGGGCAGTGTGTGCTGTGGTGCTGTGTGGGTGTCCGGTTTGGGCTAATTGGCTTGCAGGGCTTCAGCGTTGGGCTTGGTCACGGTTTTTCTTCTTGCTGTGTGCGCATGTGCCTGTGGCAGAGAGCTTAGTTGCTATATTTTATAGGCTTTGCGTTGCGCTTGAAGGATTCGAGGTGCCCGCAAGTTGAATCCGGGCACGCTCAATGCATTCAGGTGTTGGTATCAAAGAAAAACGCACCACAAAGCCTTTGGCTACCTGGGCGCTTTCAGGAACAGTTCGCGGCTTTTGAGACCAGCTCCGGGGTTGTTGCATGTCGTCTTGTGCCGCTCTTAAGCGGGGAACGATTCCGATCTGTCCAAAAAGGGCTCGAATTTTAGCCAAGCAATATTCTTAATCCCTTCCCCTTAATAGCCCCCTCCCCCCCCCCCCCCGCCCCCGCACCCCCAAATAGAAAAACCTCGGAGGGAGTTTTAAGATTAGGGGTCGCCAGTTTTGCCTTAGATATAGTTCATTGTTTGCTGTTTAGTATTGGACTTGTATTGGACAGTGGATTCCCTTTGATTGCAGCAGAAGACGCTCAGACTTGCAACTTTTCAGTAAGGACTCTGAAAGGGACATTCCCGTTGTCAAATTTCTTGGAATGTTTTGGGGTTGGGGCGCGGACTCGTGGTCTCAGGGTATTGGTTAGTATTGGCTAGTTTAACATTACTATCTGCGTTGTTTGGCGCGGCTGAGGGGAGTTTGATTAATTAGGGGTGGGTTGATTGATAGGAAGTGATCAGGCGGGGATTGTTCGATGCACAGTATTTGTTCCGCCTGCGTTTGCGCTTGTTCTTGTTCTGCTTCTTTCTCCTTGTTGCTGTTTACGAGTATGTTGCTCTTCTTTCTTTTGCTCCCAATCCTTGTCGTGGCTTCCTTCCTCTCGTACGCAGTTTGACTCTGCAGGCAGCCGGTTTGGACAGCCGCACGGCATGCCCGCCCATGCCCGCCCCCACGCTCTCCCCAGAAAAATTAACATGAGGTAGAACGAGGGTTCTTTGGGTTCCAGTCAATTTGCCGGAGTTCTTCCCGTCTTCCCATGCTATTCTCTGGATCTCTTTGTGACTGGGGGGTTCGTGTCCATTCGCTGTTCGTTGAAATCACCCCCCGCCCCCCAAAGAACATTTTGAAAAACATCCCTTCTGTGGTGGCGAGTCCTCCAGTTTTTCTTCTGTTTCGAGCGTGCTGGACATCGCGTTGGATCAGTTTCGCGTGAGAAACTTATTTGACCTTGTGTTAGGCTGGGAATTCCCATCGAGTGAAGTCAGCTCAACTGGACACCCACCGCAGCTTGCAGGAGCAGGGTGCACTTGGCACTTGGCAAAGAAGAGCTGGAAACAGCCGCACTCTTATCGATCACTGGTCAGAGTTTGTGATTATGGGCACAACATTCGAAAGACAGATTGGCTCAAGTTGGCGCAGAGGCTACACACACACACACACCATGACAAATCTGACGGCAACTCACGAGCAAATTCGGAGCCCAGTTGCAAGATGTCGGATCCGGAAGCAAAAGGCACGATGGGCTGGGAGTGAAAGGCGAAACTCGCTAGTGCCTAAGGAATCTGTATTAAAGCCCTGTGGTCTGTTTCAAGATCACGTTTTTGGTGTTGGTTCATGGAGTCAGTTTGGAGCCATGCGGAGAGGTCTTGTCCAAGGCAGCCAGCAAAACAGATGTTCAGGACAGAACAGAAGAAACCACCTCGAAGCTGGTTCGTTGCTGTCTGTTCCCGGAAGATTTTGCACATCGCGCGAGCACATGAGCAGTCCCAACCCCCGAACCCGGCCGGTTGGCGCACTTCAGTTGAGAGTTCTACTCCTTTGGTTCAGTAGAGCTCCTTCTTGTGGGGCCTTTCTGGGTATGTAGAGGCTCATCCCATAAGTTGCACCAAAACGCAAAGCCGCTGTAAACCGAGAAAGACTGAAAACTGAAGTGAGCACAGTTCGTAGGGGCGGTTTTTTGGGGCCTGGGGGTTGTGGGAGATGCGAAGTTTCCGGGGAAGGTGAGCGGGATGGAGGGTATGCAATTGCCAATTTGGTGCAGCGTGTCTTGAGCATTGATATGTTCACCCACTGCAAGCGCAGCTCGAAGACGCGACCTCAAGCCCTTTTCGCGATGCCGTCCGCCATGGCAGAGATCTGCGCGGGGCTGCGCCGCGTGCTGCGGGCCCTGGCGAGGAGCGCGGTGCCAGCCGCGGTGCCCGCGCCCGCGGCGTCGGCGCCGCAGGTCCAGGGCCCACCCGAGGTCCTGGCCCCGCCGACTCTGGCGCTGACGCTGCTGCAGCAGAGCTTCCTGGAGGCTGAGATGGCGGCCAAGGAGGAGGTCCAGGGCAAGGTGGCCGAATTCCGCCGAATGAATGGCGGCCGGCCTATGAACGGTCCACAGCGGGTTGAAGTGGAGAATCTCTTCAAGCTCCGCATGAAGACGGCGGAGCTGGCGAAGATGGAGGCCGAGGAAGAGGAACGCCGCAAGGCCAGGCATCGCATTGCAGCCGCATGTCATCGCACGCCGTTGCGGGGTTGTGTGCCAGCCAGGCTGCGGCGGAGGAGCACAACTTGGCTCCTCCAGACGAGGACAGACACTGGGGCGACTGTGTGTTTGGGTGTGTGTCCCTGTGTGCCTGGCTTTCGGAATCCTTCGTAGATCTTATCAGTTCTAAACATCATCCGTCTTTTTTTTTGGGGGGGGGAAGGGGGAACCATATCACTTGCTGGCGAACGAATCTGGGTTCGACGTTACCTGCTTCTGCCCGCAGGCAATGGTGGCCTGAGCTTTATCCTGCGCAAAAAGAACGAACCACCGCGCAGTCCAAGTGAGGCTTCTAAGCAGCAAATGTGTTCACATGCGAGTGGGGACAGGCTTCAGGCCCAAAGCGAGTGGTGGATGTCTTTTTCCGGCTAGGAAAGGTTCCCTTTCTTGCTTTCGGCATCTTTTGGGAGGAGACGAGTTTGAGACCAGGTGGGCACAAGATGTTTGAGAACTCACCGAAACCGATGCTTTTCGGCCTTTGATCATGACAGGGGACCTTTACTGGGAAGACGATGTGCCCTTGGGCCCTTCTGAGAATCCCTTCCGCACCTAGTCAAATGTATAGGTCAAATGTATAGGACATCATAGGACATGTTCTGCAGTTTCTACGGTTTCTCTTGGTGGGTTCAGGAAAACAATGTGTAGTCCTGACAAGATAACGCAGGATCTGCGCCTGAACTAAGCAGTGGATGGCCTCTCCAGCTTTCCTTTTTCTAGCAAATGTTTCATGGGGGAGGTTCCTTTTGTCGCGCGCCAGATGTTTGTTTGACGTTTTGTTGGAGGACGCCAGGTTGATCCCAGGTGCGTGTTTTGGCAACACTTGTGGGGAACTATAATGAGAGCTGCATGAATGCTGGCTCAGCACAAAACAACCTCAACCAACTGAACGGGCCATGATCCGAACAAAAACGAGACGTCGGTCAACTCGGCGTCGTCGTCCTTTGCGACCTTTGTCTGGGTAGGCTCCTTACCTTTCCGGGTTTGACACTAGTTCAGCACTTCAATTTCTGAACCATTTGAAGCTATAGTTTGGAATTGGCTAAGTATTGGCTCCGGTTTTTGTATTGATTTAGCAAAAGGCTGAAGGCGGGTGTCCAAAGTAGGGGCCCGAGTAGCCGTGGGTCGGCCAGGCAATTTGTTTTAGGTAGTCCTTCTTCGGAAGATGCGGGGCGCCCCCCCCCATTGAAGCCGTCCTTTGGAGCCTCCTTTGCCCGACAATCCGACAATCCGAGGTGGCGAGATGCCTGCCGGTTGGGGTGGCTTTTGAAGTGAGGGGTGCCCATATGTTGAGAGAGAAATGTAGCTGCAATCTGCTTCAAACAGTACCACCCCGACGGCCGCTCAGTTTGGAACCCCCCATCCACAAGGCCCGATGCGCGGGGGTCCGAACCAGTGGGAGAGCCCTGTCATTGGTTCAGGCAAGAAGATGACAGCGGCAAGCCCAGAAATTAATGAGGTGCTTTGGATTGGCGGTTTCTTTGTTGCGGTGTCCAGTGCCGAATGTAGACAAGAACTGCCAACCATAAATGCAGTTTCACCAGCGTCCGCTTTCAAGAGACTTGAAGAGGCAAGACAAGTAACGGCCGACACCTCCGTGCTTGGTGCTGAAATCTGACAAGTCTGACAATAGAAATTTCGAGCTTGGTTCTTGCCCATGGAGTGTTTCCTACCCAGAGTAGTTCTACTTGCTTCGTGTACAGGCGGAATCTAAAGGGTGATGTCTTTATAATTCCTCAAAATGCCTACTCTCGAAATGATATATAAAAAAGCAACTTGGTGTGATTTGCAGCTCGCTTGGAGATCTTGGCTGCTGTCCACTGGTTCAGCTAAAAGGCGGCAGATGTGGCAGAAGCATGCCGCCCAGCCGGAAAGGCGATTTCCAACGCGACAGCAAAAGGGGCAGTGTGTGCTGTGGTGCTGTGTGGGTGTCCGGTTTGGGCTAATTGGTTTGCAGGGTTTCCAGCGTTGGGCTTGGTCACGGGGTTTTTCTTCTTGCTGTGTGCGCATGTGCCTGTGGCAGAGAGCTTATTGCTATATTTTATATGGCCTATTACTTGTAACTTGTAACCATTAGTTGCAGTGGCTTTATGTTGCGTTGAAGGATTCGAGGCGCCCGCAAGTTGAATCCGGGCACGCCCAATGCATTCAGGTGTTGG